GGGCCCAACATTGGACGACGAACGCCCACAACATCCCGATCCTTGACCCTCGACCTCCCCCTCCAGGCGATGTCGACGACTGGAAGTTCTCCGTGGTCCTCGGGGCGCAGTGGGGCGACGAGGGCAAGGGGAAGCTCGTGGACATCATGGCGCAGGACGCGCGCTCGTCGTCGTCGTCGCCGTCGCCGTCGTCGTCGCCGTCGTCGTCGCCGTCGTCGTCGTCGTCGCCGTCGTCGCCGTCGTCGCCGTCGTCGTTGTCGTCGCCGTCGTCGCCGTCGTCGTCGTCGTCGCCGTCGCCGTCGTGGAATGGAAGGGCAGGGGAGGACGAGGATGAGGAGGCGGAAGGCGACGACGAGGACGCAAAGGAGGAGGAGGCGGACGAAGAGCAGGATGAGTCCTGCATGCGGCGCGGGGGAAGGATCACGCGGGCCTGGTCCGCCCCGGCTGCGCTCCAGGAGGAGGATGGGGCAGGGGGGAGGAGGAGGTGGAGGAGGAGGAGGAGGAGGAGGAGGAGGGAGGAGGAGGAGGAGGAGGAGGAGGAGGAGGAGGAGGAGGAGGAGGGGTATCGGAGAGAGGGTGATGGGTGAACGGGTGTGGGGGGAAGCAGGCGTAGGATGGTGACGATGGTGATGATGGGCGGGGTCGGTGGAGGTGGGGGGGAGGTCGATGAGTATGATGAGGCTGAGACTGGGGATGATGATGATGATGATGATGATGATGATGATGATGATGATGGTGATGATGACGATGACGATGACGATGATGATGATGATGATGATGATGATGATGATGATGATGACGATGACGATGACGATGACGATGACGATGATGATGATGACGATGACGATGATGACGATGATCATGATGACGATGATGCTGGTGATGATGATGATGATAGAGATGATAAAGGAGATGATGTTGATGATGCTGATGCTGCTGCTGATGATGATGCTGACGGCGATACTGATGATGAGGATGCACATGATGACGATGATGATGATGATGCTGGTGGTGATGATGCTGCTGATGGTCATGGTCAAGGTCATGGTAGTGGCGATGATGGTGGTGACGGTGATGGTGATGCTTATGACGATGATGTTGATGTTTCGGTCGATGGTGACGATCATCATGATTCCGATGCTGTTGATGATGATGATGATGATGATGATGATGATGATGATGATGATGATGACGGTGGTGGTGATGGTGGTGGTGGTGATGTTGATGATGATGGTGTTGGTGATGATGATGATGATGTTGTTGACGCTAACGATGGGGCTGGTGATGCTGACATTGATGATTATGTTGATGATGCTGATGCTGATGATGATGCTGATGATGGTGTGATGATGGTTTGTCGGATGATGATGCAGACGACGGCCGATGATGTTGACGATTGACGATGACGTTGATGTTGATGTTGATGATGATGGTGATGATGATGCTGCTAATGCTGAGGATGATGTGGATGATTATGATGTTGACGATGATGCTGATGATGATGAATTGGGATGATGATGATGATGATGATGATGATGATGATTATTATGGTGCTGCTGATGATGATGGTTACGCTGATGGTGACGTGGATGCGGATGGTGCTGATTCTGCTCACCACGACGACACCGACGACGACCGATGATGATGCTGATGATGATGATGCTCGTGCTGATGATAATGATGCTGGTTGTGATGGTGCTGCTGATGCTGATGACGCTGCTGCTGCTGCTGCTGATGCTGGCGCTGATGCTGATGCTGCTGAGGCTGCTGCTGAGTATGATGATGATGCTGATGCTGCTGATGATGATGCTGACGGTGATGATGTTCATGGTGCATGTCACGTTGAATATGCTTATGATAATGGTGGTGACGATGATGCTGCATATGATGCTGATGGTGCTGATGATGCGGGCGCTGATGGTGATGATGCTGACGAAAGTGAGTACGATGCTGATGATGATACTGATGATGCTGCTGATGATGATGGTGCTGCTGATGATGATCATGATTATGATGACGATCATGATGATGATGATGATGATGATGATGATGATGATGATGATGATGATGATGATGATGATGATGATGATGATGATGGTGATGGTGATGGTGATGGTGATGGTGATGATGATGATGATGGTGATGGTGATGATGATGATGATGCTGCTGATGATGATGATTATGACGAGGATTATGCTACTGATAATATAACTGATTATGCGGAGGATGGCGATGATGCTGATTGTGGTGGTGGTGTATGTGGTACGATGGTGGTGGTGGTGACGATGATGAGGAGAAGGAGTCTGCCTAGACGGAAGATGCCGAGGAGGAAGTTGACGAGAGGGGGTGGGAGGGTGAGTAGGGGGTGGCCCAGGACGCGCAGTTGTGCGCCAGGTTCAACGGCGGCGCCAATGCGGGGCACACGCTGGTGGTGGACGGCACCCCTTCTTCCTGCTGCTCCCACCCAGCCTCCTCACCTCCCCCCTCCCTCGCCCTCACCCCCCCGATCCTCCTCATCCCTGCCCTCCTCATCCCCCCTTTACTCCTCCTCTTCACCGCCTCCCTCTATCCCCTCCACGACCCCCCTCCCCCCTCAACCCCACCCTCCTCCCTTGCTCCTCCCTCCTCCTCCGCCCCCTCCTCTGCCAGTCGGCCTCCTTCTTCTGTTTCCTCCCGCTCGTCCCTGCTCCCTCCGCCTCCCCTTCTCCCTCTTCCCCCCCCCCCGCCCCGGCCCTGCTGCGACGACGGCGCCAGCCCTCGTTCCTGCCCCTATCCCCTCCTCTGCCGTGTTCTGCTCCCTCCTCCGGTCCCCACGCTTGCTCTCCCCGTCCCGCCTCCTGGGGACGACGGCACCCCGACGTCCCTATCTGGATCACTGCGTTGCCGCCGGGGCCCTGGCGGAGTGAGGAAGGCAGGGGCACCCTCACCTCTCTCGCTCTCCTCACCCATCCTTCCCCCATGCTGGGAACCAGTACCGCCTGCTCCCCTCGTCCCTCGATCCCCCTCCCTCCTCCGGTCCTCCCTCGTCCACTCCCCCGTCCTCTCCTCGTCCCCCGCTCCTCCTCCTCCTCCTCCTCCTCCTCCTCCTCTTCCTCCTCCTCCTCCTCCTTTTCCTCCTCCTCCTCCTCCTCCTCCTCCTCCTCCTCCTCCTCCCCCTCCCTGCCCTCGGCTACAAGTACGCGTTCCACCTCCTGCCCTGCGGCATCATCAACAAGTCGTGCAAGAACCTCATCGGCAACGGCGTGGCGTGCCACCTGCCCACGCTGATGAAGGACGCGGGGCCAGCCGAAGGGCTTCCGGGTGAGGAGGAGGAGGAGGAGGAGGAGGAGAAGGATGATGATGATGATGAGGAGGAGGAGGAGGAAGAGGAGGAGGAGAGGGGGATAATACGGAGGATGCGGAGACGACTTCTGCTTAAAGTTGAGTTGGCTATGCTGGTGCTGATGCTGATGCTGATGCTGATGCTGCTGCTGCTGACAACGGTGATGATGAGGGCGATGACGATGCTGATGATGCTGATGATGGTGGTGATGGTGATGCTAGTGATGATGCTGATGATGATGAGGAGGATGAGGATGGTGATGGTGGTGATGGTGATGGTGATGCTGATGATGATGATGATGATGCTGATGGTGATGATGATGATGATGATGATGATGATGATGATGGTGGTGGTGATGATGATGATGAGGATGATGATGATGGTGGTGGTGATGATGATGATGTCGACGACGAGGGTGAGGGTGAGGCGGAGGAAGAGGAGGGTGGGAGAGGAACAAGATGAAGGAGGAGGAGGAGAGGCAAAGGAAGAGGAATCTATGTGGAGGAATAGAATGTAAAGGACGTGCACGAGGAGGAGGAAAAGGATGAGGAAGAAGAAAAGGAGGAGGAGGACCAGTGCAAACCCAAGATTCATCAACGATGTTGTGATATACCCTCCCTCCAAGTTCCCTTTACCCAGGCCCCTACAAGAGTTCATTTCCATTGAGGGAAGTGCCCAGCTGGGTGACACTTCCGTGTGAAAATCATGAAGCGTGCGAGAACACTATTCTCAATATTTCAACGCTACGATCCTGACTCATGCTAGAACACCATTCCTGGGACTTTTACACCGCGAATCAACGTAACTGTTGCGCCCTGACAATTCGGAATCCTTCCGAATCGCTAGTCCTTGTAGGTTATCCATGAGAACCAGTGAAACTCGTGCAAATGTTTGAAACCAATGTGCGCGGCGCCATGGCGAGAGCCACAGTTTGAAAAGGAACCGCTTTCAATCAGTGAAACTTTTACAGCGTTGAAAGCGGATGTGCGCGGCGCTAAGGCGAGAGCCATACTTGGACCGTCCTCATCCGTGAAGCTCCTGCATGTTTAACGAATGTGCGCGGCGCTAAGGCGAGAGCCAAATTTTGAAGACGACCCGCCCTCAATCCGTAAAGCTCTTGTAATGTTTTAAAGCAACTTGGCGCGGCGCTAAGGCGAGTGCGAAATGTTGGAAGCGGCCCTCCCTCCATCTGTGAAGCTGGTGCCAGTTTTTAAGCTTCAGGTTCCATTGGTGAGGAAGTCTCAGGCGAAACGCCCGGCCCGCCCTTCCGGCGGGCCTCGAGGTGTGACACGGAGAAGGTATAAAGGGATTGAGATGCAGCAGGAGGAGGAGCAGCAGAAGGACGAGGAGGAGGAGGAGGAGGAGGAGCAGCAGGAGCAGGAGCAGGGGGAGGAGGTGGTGGAGGAAACGGAGGCAAAGAGGGAAGCGTGAGCTGGGGAACGAGGAGGGGAAGGGGAGCCACCCTCGTGCTTCTCATCCTCCCTGCTCCGTTCTCCCCGCTCTCTGCTCCTCGCCTGTCCATCTTCCCTCCTGTCCTCCTCCCTCGTCCCTCCTCCCTGCCCGCCCCCCCCTCCTCCCCCCTCCCTCCCCTCTTCGTCTCTCCTCCCTTTCTCCGTCCTCGTCTTCTTTTCCTCCGCGCCCGCGCTCATGAAGGAGCTGGAGCAGCTGAAGGGCTTCGATGGGCGTGCCCTGGAGCGCGTGTTCATCCGGTTGCGCTGCCGCGCAGATCCGCCGCTCGTCTACGGTGCCGTCGGAATGCCGAGCACGTTGGAGACTTCGGAACAGCAGGCCCTGGTCTCAGAGGGGGAAAAGCCCTAGGGCTCCAGTCGTGATGTTTGGTGATGTTGAAGTATTTCGCAACGTCGGGTCTCGTGGTGGGTGGTTTCTTCAAGGGCCGCTGCTGTGCGCGGGGCGGGGCAGCATCCAGAAGGGGGGACGACACGCATCGGCCGCTGTCGCAGTGCGGCGCCGGATCTCCACCCGAACCCATATCCTGATCGACAGTCACCAGCTGATCGACGGCATCCTCGAGGTGGGGGCGCCGTCCAAATCGATCGGCGCTGCCTCCTCCTGCCCCCTTCCCTCACATGCCCTTCCATTCCTAAACACTCCTTCTCGAACGGGATCTGAATATCTTTGTTTGGCCTGTCCGATCGTCATGAAGCAGGGGGTCAGCTGGTTTTTATTTTGGGGGTAATCGCAAAATCGAGAACCGTTCCCTTGGAAAGCAAGTGAACAGCCCTGAGTGCAAACCATGAGTGCAAGTGCTGCACTGTTTGGCGGCAGTTTGTCCCTCTCCAAACAGCTCCGAGGATCTCTGGAGGCCTCTGGAGGCCTCCGGCAAGAGGGCCGAACACGCCCAAGGAGGAGGAGGAGGAGGAGGAGGAGGAGAAGAGGAGGAGGAGGGCGAGGAGGAGGAGGAGGAGGACAAGAAGGAGGAGGAGGAGGAGGAGGAGGACAAGGAGGAGGAGGAGGAGACAAGGAAAGGGAAGGGATGAGGAGAGAGGGGAGGAGGAGGACAAGGAGGAGGTGAGGAGGAGGAGGTGAGGAGAGAGGAGGAGGAGGAGGAGGAGGGAGGAGGAGTGGGGGGAGAGGAGGAGGAGGAGGAATAGCACTTAGAGGCTTGGGAATCACACCTCGATGGAAACGGTCCAGATAAGACCGTCTCGTATCATTGAGAGAATCAGAACCAAGACACTCTTGCCTGAGCCCCGCTTGTAGGTTGGCCGTGAAGAAAAACCCGCAAGCCCCACAGATCCAGACCCCGAGTGACTGATGAAACAACATACGGTGAGATTCGTGAGCCCACCCCCCAGCTAAGTGCAGCTTCCGTCTAGGCCCCTTAGACACCACAGAGTCGACATGCTCTAGAGGCTCGCAAGGGGATTCTAGCCACTCGTGGAGGGTGGCCTTCGTGCCGCTACTACGGCACGTGGAACACTTAAACCCACATTCACTAAGCGTGTGAGCTGTATTAAACCTGGCTACGACCGCGGGGGAGGGCGGCGGCGGGGCAGGGGCCGAAGAGACACGACCACCAGGAGCGATCGCAGAAATCTTCGCTTCCTCACGCTCGGCGGCCGTGGCCTCCAAGGTGGCCCTGAGGAGCCTCCGCCTGATCAAAGCAGCTCGTCCCTCAACCTCCGCGATCCTAGACCGAACACTACTGGGCAACCTACACCGCTCAGCGGCCCCCGAGGCAATGGCGTCAGCCACTTCATTACCGCGCAACAACCACTCGGGAGTCTGTTTCTCGCACACATCCTGGGCGGTCTGGTGGGAGTTGACGTGCAGGACGACGATCTCGCTGAAGTCCCTGTGCTTAACCAGAGCTCCGATCTCCGCCCACAAGCCGCTCATCTCACTCTTCCCAGGATTGAGATACTGCTGAGCGTGCCACCCACGCACAACATTTTCATTATCTGAAATGTACACCGTCGGCCCTGCTGACCACCTTATAGCAAGTTCCAGACACCGAAGCTCACCTCTCGGCACAGATTGAACTCGTCCTGTTAGTGGTCCTGCAATCTTGGTCCCGATGGTCATGGCGATGGGGTCGGTCATCACTACCAAGCCCAGGCCGACTCTCCTCAGCGATGGAAACCGACTCTCGGGACCACCTGAGGCATCACCGAAAATGAGTAAAGGTTGAGCCAGCGTGCCGCTGCCAAGGCACTCAGCTCCAAGTGGGCATACCAGATCAACAGCTGTCCAGTCTTCTTGCATCGCTGGCGCTGGAGTAGCCGTCAAATGTCTTGGAATCAACCCACGATACCACAGACATGCATCACTGTCGCCTTGTGCCAAGGCTGCTGGTACCAACTTATCTGAGTCGGTGAAAGCTTTGGCATTAGTATTGGCATTGCATAACCACCCTCGATGCTTCATGTCCTCGGGCTCCTGCTTGCACCGAAGACACAAATTGGACTTGCACAACTTCGCTTCGAACTTCCTCGTCCGCGTCCAACACCCTCCTGTGCTAATCGTCAACATGAGTTCGGCGAGCTGATGGCCATGAGGCCCTGCACGGAGCCTAGTGAGCAGCCGTCGAAGGGAATCATTATCAGCCCCGAACTCCAGGCCGGCCCCATGATGAAGTTGGGCAGCGTCCCTCCACTGTTGAAGATCAAGACTCTGCCCAAAATCAAATAAGAAATCTGCTGTGTCAACGTGCTGCTGGTCGATACTGCTATCCTGGAAGATCCAGTCGACGGGCTCGAGACCGAACTCGTCAGACCGACACCAATGCGACGGCGACTGAGGATCCCAACCTGCGTTGACCAGGTACGTGACTATCGCAGAGATTGGCCCGTGAATATATCTCCCTCGCTCATGAATTGACAAGCTCCGCACTTGCTTGACAACGTCGTCCCACACTCTCCGGACTCCTGCACGTATCTGTGGGTATTCAAACCATGTCTTGAGCCATTGATTCAAGCATAACAAAGGCAGCCGAACTCCTGGATCTTGCTGAGGTGCACGTACATCGAGTAGCGTTGTGAGACATCGCCCTCGTTGGCGCGCCCCTGATACTGAACCAAGCTGCCGCCTGAGCTGCTGCAACCGCCACCCAAACGTACCATGAACATGATGAGCATACGTCGCAGCTGCCTGAGGCCCTGCGAACTCAATTTTCTTCGTCGCCTCGTAGCACTTCGACGCGAATGCGTGTCGCCTCAGCTTCTTGTTGCAGGCGGTGGCTTTCTGAGTGCGCGCCCTTCGTGATGCTCTGGCAACTCTGCGACCACCGCCTAAGTCAACTCCGAGATAACTAACTTGAAGGACTGCCTGAATATCGATCCCTTTCTTCTTCAATACTTTAGAAACGTACTTGCTATCATTCATGCTGCCACATAAGATCACACTCTTGGGCGCCAACTTGAGCCCTGCTTGAACGACCTGATCTCGGACCAACACCACACTTTGAACAAGCGCCTTGCGAACTGCTAAGCGAGACCCTTTGTGCCCTAGGTATAAGTCATCCACCCATATACGCTGGGATGATGAGACTCTCGCCGTGCAGAGCCTGTCCAGGATGAAATGGGTTAGGCACCGCCCGAATCGCACCCCATTTCTTAACCCTTGAATGATGCTCCTGGTGGGCTGGAAAGGGGCTGCATGAGCCCCAAATTGCGCCAAAACTCTCGGCGCCGTACATAATTGAACCTCCAGCAGCAACACTATACCAGGAAATCCCAGCCGAATGGCCGCGTCGGATAGCTTGCTCCACCTGATCATGTCATAAAATGACTTGAGGTCTAATAAGGCGCACCCGTTGGAAACCCCAAGCTTCACAAATAACTCTTGATCGACTGCTTTCAAGAAAGCCTCCTGCAGCGCCGAATTGCCAGCCACTGCAGCGTCCCAGTCCGTCGCTGTGTCGGTGGACCAGCGCTTAGTGTAAGGCTCCCGAATGAGGGTGTACAGCCGACATACAATGGGCAGCAAACCGATGATCCGATCACCACCCGCCTTCTTGGGTAAAAGACGACCCAAGACACATAACAATTGAGTGGGCCATGTGCCCGTATCTTCAATCATATTGAGAACTCCAGCCAAGGCGTCATGTCCTTCCGAAGGGAGCCTCTGGATGTCCAGAGGCGTCAGCTGATCAACGCCAAGGCCTGCTTTGCTTTTCATCCGAGCTGCGGCTTGCCGTACCTCATCGCCGTCGATAGGTGCGAGCCCTTGAATGCGGGCCCACTCCCTCATGTCGGCGAAGGCGGCACACAAATCGTCGATGCTGGACTCAGGATCATACCACAAATCATGCCACTTGGTGGCTTTCGCATCGATGACATCGTTGGGATGAAATAGATACTCGCCATTGTGAAAGAGCTCGTCATTGACCGTAGCCGTATCCTTGATACTCCTGTGCAATACCCCTGACGCTTCCGATGACGACACCCACTCTTTGAACTCCGATAACGACTGCCGTAGTGCTTTGGCCGCAGCTCTCTTGGCGGCTCGCTGTGCCACCTGCAAGAAACTGTCAAGACTCCTTCCACCGTAGCTGAAGTTGTTGCAGAGAAAACTAACCCAATGCTCCCAATCACCGCTGTCGTTGTAGGGGAGCACTGCATGCACCCCCTCGGGGTAATCAGTGCCCAGTCGAACACCAAGTTCTCGAAGGTAAACTAGTTGCCTGGCGCCGTTACCCCGTTCACGATGCCGAGAAACTTTCACTAAAACTTGAACGACTCGCGACCACCAGTTGGCAACCCTGTCTTGAAGGGGAGCCTCTCGAAAGGTAGCCGCCTGCTGTACGCGCTGCTCCCGAAGGTGGGGATCAGCCGCGCGAGAAACAGAACTAAGAGGTAAACCGTGATGACTGGATATCGTCGCCTCTAAGGTAGATACCCAACCAGCGTACAGCGCCGAGACGTGCCGAACGTGAGGCCCTGCAACTCGCACTGCTATCGAATCATGAATGGCAGACCAGTGTGTGTAAACTTCATTGCTATCGGATGGGATGAAGCTGGATCCACAACAGGTTTGAGCCAAAACCCAACGGTCCGATGGAACTTGGAACTCGGGGTTCCGAGGCGACGATTCAGCAACAACGGGCTCATTATTTCCAGGGGCACTCTCAGCTTGACCAGCTGAACTATCTAAGCTGCTGTTGCTGGGGGGCTCTGAAACGGGCTCAGGCTGAGACTCGTCACTCAAGTGGGGCGGACCTGGGTCGGCAGCGGACACTGACACTGCAATTGAAACGCTAGGTGCGACTGAGGAACTACTATCGGCCAATGGTTCTCCAGAGGTTCCCACGACCTCCGACTGACCAGAGAACGCCGAAATAAAACAGGTTTCCTCGGCCCACGGGTCCTCTTCCTCCTCGCCTTCGACGGGAGCAAAAGCCTCAGAAACAAAAGGCCCAGGGAAAGACTCACGCGCACCTACTTCATCGGGGTCCTGAAACATGTCCCCGAAGAGCTCGAGCGATTCATCGACAAATTTTTCCTTGGCGACGGCTACGCGAAACGCCTTCTCTGCTTTAGCTTTGCTACTCTTGGAACCTGGGGTGGGCAGAGTGCCTGGCCGACTCACCTGCGGGAGTTTGCCTGCAACAATGAGCGAACGTGTCACTAACTGCTGGCAGCTATGACGTAACCTCAAACGCAGTCCACAGTGCGGCCCCCAAGGAACATTATGATCGGCGCGAAGGTCGACGACAAAACTCTCGGCTCCAGGACCTGTGATGACGTAATCGATGTGCGAGGCTCCCTTCGCTGTTGTACACGTATACTCTGCTTCTGACTTGCGGATCCTACCATGGACCCGCGCGAGGAAATGAGATTTCTGAAGAGTCTCTGCTGCCATATTGAAATCTCCAATGCACAGCCAAGGTAACTGCAGCGCATTGAGAAAGCCACCTAACCGATGAAAACGTTGATAGTTGATGGTACCGCACCTCATGCCCACTGACGGGTAACCGTACACAAGGACCAGCACCAGGGAGTACGACTGGAAATGCACTATCACTGGAAGAAATCCGTCGTAAGCTGAATGGCCGTCCGCGCATAAGTCAGGCGCGTCGTCAGGCGAAACTGGAAACCGATGAACCTGAAGATGCTGCCGAAAAAGTAGAACTTCACCTCCCTCATTGGCACGCTCACGCTTGGCCTCGGTGTTGCCAAGCCCCGTGCTCCTGGCCAAGTTGAACACATGCTTGAGCTTGCTGCTGCGGAACTTCGTGGCCCACCGCTTGCTCAACGAATCTCCGATGTGTGTCTCCACTAACCCGAAAAAGTCTATTGAATTATCAGATTGCCCTGACACCAGCGACTGGATATGCCCCCATGCCTTCTTCCCAAGACAAGTGCAGTTCGAGAAGAAGAGCGTACTGCAATCACTAGTGCTACTGCCACCATCGTTTGAAGAAATAACATCATCCAGCACTGTGCCACACCCATGCGATGTACATGTACTCGCGCTCGTGGACTGACCAGTCGCCGATGATGATGCTGTCGCTGAAGTTGCCGAACATGCTGTAGATGCTGAAGATGCCGATGTAGCAGCCGAGCTCGCAGCGCCATCGGCTGACGCGCTGCGAGGGCAGGTCTCCGCGGCGCCTCCATCCAAAGGGACGGGCGCCGCGGGCGAACATCACATGCTCGCCGCTGCGGGAGCCGCAGCTGCAACCTGCCTCGCTGCGTCAGCACCTGCGAGCCTGGCCTCACTGATCTGCTTGGCCCTCGCTGCCAAGGCCTCTTCCGAGAGACTGCCGCTGCTGCCCGAGCTCGCGCCAGGCCCGGCTGGCGGGGGCGCTGACGTGCCCTCATGGGCCGCGACCTCGGGGCCCGTCGCCGTGCCAGCGCCAGCGGTGCCACCGCCCTCAGCGCCTCCAGCGACTCCTCCAGCCTCTACCTTCCGCTTCTTCTGCAACCGCTCCTGAATGGCCGCCTTCATGGCCTTGGTCCGCTCGACCCACGCCTTCACCTCGGACGACCTCGTGGCCATTGCCGTCTGCATGTCGCGCAACTGCTTCTCCAGCTCCGCGATCTCCTTACGTTCACCTTCCTCGCACTCTAAGTCCTGGATGGACGCGAAGAAGGACTCATCAACCTCCACGCGAAAGCAGTCGCCTTCGGCGGCCTTGTCAGGGGCCTTGCCGTCGCCCGCCGCCTGCACCTGCAAGCCTGAGGCGTTGGCGAGGGCCTTGATGGCGATCTGCTTGTTGAACTCCGCCTGAGCCAAAGTGCGAGCGCACTCCGCCTCGCGCGCCTCAGCCTTGGCTAAGGCAGCCCTGCATCGCAGCACCTGGTCCACGGACTGGGCGTGCTTGGCCTCGGCGTCCTTCCACGCGCCTGAGGCCTTCCTCACGGCCTCGTCGGCAGACACGACCGACTCCGCGGGCTTCTGCGCGGCGAGAATCGCCTGCTGACTCTCCAGGACGCGCTTGACCGTCGGGTCCGTGGTGGCCGCAATGGTCTGGCTCAGCAGGTCGAGGGCGCCCTCTGGAGTGCCTCCTGCACTTCCCTGCTGCTTGCTCTTGCCCTTATGCTTAGGCCCAGGTTGGACAAGGGCGGCCGCCTGCTGCTGCTGCTGGCTGGCGTCCTGGCCCTTGGGCTTGAACAGTTTAACAGGCCTCCCGCACTTCCTGCATGCTCCTCCCTCTTGAAGCAGTACGTCGTTCCACTGATGTGTATGGCACCCAGCGCACGTGCTCCAAAGTCGTCGTCCTGCAGGCGCGGAGGCCATCCCCGCTTTAGCTGCCTCGAACGCCTACGCTCACCACGTGGGAGGCGAGGCAGACCCCAAGCACCTCGGGACGGCGCGGGGCTGGCCGAGTGGTCGCGCGCAAAATGCGAGGAGAGCCCTGTGCCCTCCCTGCAACCGCTCGTGCCAGTCTTGCTTGAGAGGAGGAGGAGGAGGAGGAGGAGGAGGAGGAGGAGGAGGAGGAGGAGGAGGAGGAGGAGGAGGAGGAGGAGGAGGAGAGAGGATGGAAAAGGAGGACGACCCCTCGCTCCCCGATCCTCGAGCTTGGGTGGCAGCCTTCCCCTGGCGGTGCCCACGCGGGGCTGGCGCGAGCAGGGCGTCCCTCTCAGAGTGCGGCGGGGCCTCCAAGAAGGCAGGGGGGCGTCTGAGAAGCCCGCCCGGCCTCTAAGAAGCTTAGAGTTAAGTCGGGTATGTCCCCCGAGAGGAGGAAGATTCTCAAACATCTTTTTTTGTAATATGGGGACGATTGATCGATGATTTGCTTGACTGTCTGAGTTCATGGTTTGATTATTTTTCACTTGTCCTTCGAAGTCCGCCTGTAGGAGGACGTGCCCGACCTAAGCTTAGAAGCTTCCAGGGCCTTCTGCTGAGAAGGCCCCCGCCTTCTCACAAGTCCCCCTCTGCCTTCTCAGCAAGCCAGCCCCCTCGCGCCGCTGCCCTGTGGGCGCCGCAGATCCCTCGAGGCGAAGGCGGAGGCCCCCACAGGGCCGAGCGCCCAACAAGTCGGACCCTCGTCCCCCGATGCTCGATCCTCGAGCCTGGCTAGCAGCCCCTCCTCCCCCGAGGCGGAGGCGTCGACCAACTCGATCGGCACTACCAAGCGCGGCATCGGCCCGTGCTACGCGTCCAAGTCCATCAGGAACGGCCTGCGCTTCGGCGACCTGCTGCACTTCGACAAGTTTGAGGAGCGCCTGCGGGAGCTCATCAAGTGAGGGGGGGGCTCCTCCTCCTCCTCCTCCTCCTCCTCATCATCTTCCTCTCCTCCTCCTCCTCTTCCTCGTCCCCCTCCTCCTCCCTTTCCTCCTCCTCCTCCTCCTCCTCCCCCTCCTCTTCCTCTCTCGGGGGGGGGGGAGAAGAAATGGAAGAGGAGGGATGGACGGAGGTGGTCTCAGAAGCGGTACGGCGAGCCCAGCCCGAACGACCAGGAGTCGCAGTTGCTGCTTCGCAAGTGCCTGCGGGAGTACAACACGCAGCAGGCCTTCGATCCGGGCAACACCCCCGGCAAGAGGGGCGGCGTCGCCAGCGTCGACGAGGAGGTGGAGCGCTACAGAGGCCGAAGGGGCAGGATGAGAAGGACGATGAGAAGGAGGAGGCTCAGGAGGAGGCGCGTGAGGACGAGGACGATGACCAGGCGGAGGAGGGGTAGGATGATGATGATGATGATGATGATGAGGAGGAGGAGGAGGAGGAGGAAGAGGAGGAGGAGGAGGAGGAGAAGAAGGATGGGGCGGAGGACGGGATGCCGACGATGGTGGTGATGATGATGATGCTGCTGTTGATGATGGTGATGGTGTTATTGTTGCTGTTGGTGTTGATGATGGTGATGATGACGTTGATGAGGATGCTGCTGCTGCTGCTGTTGCTGCTGCTGCTGATGATGATGATGATGATGATGATGATGGTGATGCTGGTGGTGACGATGCTGATGATGCTGATGATGGTGATGATGCTGCTGGTGATGATGATGATGATGATGATGATGACGATGATGCTTATGATGATGCTGTTGCTGATGATGCTGGCAAGTATGATGGAAATACTGATGATGACGGCGATGCGGATGATGCTAAACATGATGATGATGTTGATGATGTTGATGATACTGACGGTGATACTGATGATGATGATGATGATGGTGATGATGATGGTGATGATGATGAGGAGGATGAGGATGAGGATGATGATGATGATGATGATGATGATGATGATGATGATGATGATGATGATGATGATGATGATGATGTTTGTGATGATGGTGCGAACGAAGAGGTTGAGGATAATGATGAGGATCGACATGTTGAGGATGACAATGAGAAGGATGGATATTGATGATGCTGTTGATGATGATGATGATGATGGTGCTGCTGCTGATGATGCCGCTTCTGATGATGGTGATGAGGATGACGACGACGATGATGAAGATGATGATGAGGCCGACGATGCGGAAGATGATGACTAGGAGGATCATGATGATGAGCGTACTTGTGATATGATGGCGACGGTACTGATTCCGATGTTAATGGTTGTGGTGATGGGTGTGATGTTGATGGTGATCATGATGACGAGGACGACGTCGAGGATGATATCGATGTCGATGACGACCACGATATCAATGATGATGATGCTGATGATGATGATGATGCTGACGATGATGATGCTGATGGTGATGGTGATTCTGATGATGACGCCGATGACTAGCATGGTGATGATGATACTGCTGCTCATGGTAATGATGATGATGATGACGCTGATGCTGGTGCTGATGCTGTTGATGAGGAGAAGGGGCAGCAGGGAGTAGGAGGAGGAGGTGGAGGAGGAGGAGGAGGAGGAGGTGGACGACGATGAGGGCGACGACGAGGCGGGCGATGGGGAAGTGCGCTGCGAAGGTTACGCGAAGCTGCTGCGAAACCAGATCGTCGACTCGGTCACCTTCATCCACGAGGACGCCTCGCGTGGTGGCAGAGTGCGGCCACTGCCACTCCCTGTCGTCCTCACCTTCCTCTCCACCTCTGTGCTTTGCACAGGCCCGGCGCACTGCTGGGCACATGGCCCGCGGGCGCCCTCTGAGCGGATTGGCCCGCCAATCTCCACGGCCGCGGCAAGAGGGTCCACCAGGCCCAGCGGACCCAGTTGACACGGCTCTGCAGCGTCCCCCGTTCGACTGCTTGCTCATTCGTTCTCCTCCTCCCTCCCCTCCCTCGCTCGCTCGTTCGTTTCGTTCCTTCGCTCGCTCGTTCGCTCGCTCGTTCGTTCGCTCTCCTCCTCTCTTCCCTCGCTCCTGCCGCCGCTGCCGCTGCTGCTCGTGTCTGCCTCCCCGCCGCCGCCTCTGCCTGCCACTGCTCCTCAGCCCGCATCCCCGCGCGGCCGCTGCCGGTGCTCCTCCTCCGCGAGGACATCTCCCGCGGCAGCAGGGTCCTAGTGGAGGGCGCGAACGCCGCCCTCCTCGACATCGACTTCGGCACCTACCCCTTCGTGACGTCCTCCAACACGACGATCGGGGGCGTGTGCACTGGCCTCGGGGTCGCGAGGGGGGAGGCGGATGGGGATGCTGCTGCTGCTGAGGAGGAGGAGGAGGAGGAGGAGGAGAAGGAGGGAGGAGGAGGAGGAGGAGGAGGAGGAGGAGGAGGACGAGGAGGAGGACGAGGAGGGAGGAGGAGGAGGAGGAGGACCACAGTAAACCCGAGGTGCATCAACGATGCCGCAGTGCACCCTCCCGTCCGAGGCCCCCTCTCCTCCTCCTCCTCCTCCTCCTCCTCGACTCGTCCTCCTCCTCCTCCTCCTCCTCCTCCTCCTCCTCCTCCTCCCTCCTCCTCCTCCTCCTTCTCCTCCTCCCTCTCCTCCTCCTCATCCTCCTCCTCATACCGCCCTCCTCCTCCTCCCTCTTCTCCTCTTCCTCTTCCTCTTTGCACCCGTCCAGCGAGCCGCCACTGGGAATGCGCAAGGGTACGACCATATAGCTCAGAGAGGGATCCAGCGAGATCCCCATCTTTGAAGATCGGCGGCGAGCGAGGGGGGGAAGTGGGAAGGAGGAGGAGGCCCTCTCAGAAGGCTGCGGGACTCCTCAGAAGCCTTCTCAGAAGGCCCGCCCCTTCTCACTTCTCTCCTCGCCCGCCGCCTAAAAGAAGCACCGCCCTCACCCCCCCATCACCCGCCGCCAGGGAATGCGCAAGGGTATGGTCATACAGCTCAGAAAGGGGTCCAGCGTTGAGTCGGGCCTGTCCCTCTACGGGGGGGGGAATAGTCGAAAAATCGTATGGGAACTATGTTTTACTATGTTGAAGCATTTTGGGAGCATTTTTTGGGGGTACTTTTCTTATCTTTCGTCCAAAATCCCCCTGTAGGGGGACAGGCCCGACGTAAGTCCAGCGACATCCCCGTTTTGAAGAAGCACCGCCCCGGCGGTGCAGCCTCTTGTGCAGGCTGCCACTCGCGGCCACGAGCGCCGAGGACGTCCCCGGGCGGCCGCCCGAGCTTGGAAGGGCCACCTTTCGTCCGTGCAGCTGCTGCATCTGTTGAGGTATCTGGCTTCTCTAGATGTAGCTCCTCCTCGTCCTCCTCTTCCTCCTCCTCCTCCTCCTCCTCCTCCTCCTCCTCTTCCTCCTCCTCCTCCTCGACCTCGCATTCCTCCTCCTCCTCCTCCTTCCCCTCCCCCCCCTCCCCCTCCTCCTCCTCCTCCTCCTCCTCCTCCTCCTCCACCCTCCGTCGTCCTCCTCCTCCTCCTCCTCCGCCTCCTCCTCCTCATCAAGCGAAGATCCATCGTTCAAAAGGTGCTGCAGGGCATCAGAACTGATGTGCGCGGCGCTCCAGCGACGGCCCAAATTTTAAACAGGAGCCGCCTTCCATCGTTGAAGCTGCTGCAGACTTTGAGGATAAATGTGCTCGGTGTGGAGGCAAGAGGCGCACATTGAAAAAGGAACCGCCCTCCATCCTCCTCGAAGCTGTTGTAAACTGTTCAGACTGATGTGCGTGGCACTGCGGCGAGAGCCACAGTTCATAGGGAACCACCCTCCATCCTTGAAGCTGTAGCAAACTGAACTGTAAAGACAAACTTAGGCGGCGCTCCAGCGAGAGCTACATGTTGAAAAGGAACCGCCCTCCATCCTTGAAGCTGTTGCGAATTTGAGACGAATGTCCGTGGTGCTCAAGCGAGAGCCACACTTCGGCAGGAACCGCTCTCCATCCTTGAAGCCGCCGCCAACAAATGTGCGCGGTGCTAAGGCGAGAGCTACATTTAGAAACCACCCCCCTCCATCCGTCAAGCTGTTGCCAAGTTGATTTCAAGCTCCAGGGCCATGCCTGGCGAGGAAGTCAGCCAGCGGAATGCCTGGCCCTACCGTCGGGGGGGGGGGGGGCGAGAGGGAGGGGTTATGAATTATGGAACAGGGATGGCAGAGGGGAGAAGGAGGGGGCGGAGGCAGATGCGGATGAGCCAGAGTAGGACAAGGCGGATGCGCAGAAGAAAAGGGAGCAGCATAATCAGGAAAACGAGGGTGAGGATGATGAGGAGGAGGCGGAAGAGGAGGAGGAGGAGGAGGAGGAGGAGGAGGAGGGAAAGGAGAAGGAGGAGGAGCAGGAGGAGGAATAGGAGGAAGAGGAGGAGGAGGATGAGGAGGAGGCCGAGGAACATCATCAGGAGCAGCAGTAGGAGGGGAATAGAGCAAGAGGAGAAGGAGGAGGAGAAGGAGGAGGTGGAGAGGTGGAACCGCAGGAGGAGGAGGAGGAGGGATATGAAGAGGACGACGGGGGTGAGGAGGAGGGGGGGAGGAGGAGGAGCTTGGGAAAATAAAATGATGTTGACGATCATAATGATAATCATGATTCGAATGACGAGGATGAGGAGGAGGAGACGGGTTATGAACAGTGGTAGCACGTACCAGTATTAGTAGGTTCAGCGATGGGGAGAGGGAAGATGAAGAGAAGGATTAGAAAGAGGAGGATGAGGAAGAGGGAGGTGGAGCAGAGGAGCAGGATGATAATAACCACAGTAGGAAGAGGACGGGGAGGAGGAAGATAAGGAGGAGGAGGAGGAGAAACAGAAGAGGAGGATGCTGTTTCTTCATGCGCAACAGTGGTCAACAGATCATGGCGACTGGAGGCGGCAAAGACTGGGTCATCGCCGAGTCTGGCTTCGAAGGCCGATGGATGCAATATACCAGTAGGTACATCTGGATAACTGTATGCCGAGAAGGCGAAACGAGGGAAGTACCTCGAGCATGAGGATCTGTCACAAAGGCATGTGTGAACCCTGGCCGTCAAGCGGGGCCCGCCCCTACCGTGTTGGGTGCCGCCGCACTTATATGATCGTACGGACCGCTCCCGGGGGCCGGACGGGACGTGTTCGCAGCGGCCTCGCTGGCCAGGGCGGAGAGGCAGCACCAAGCATGCATTCCCAGTCGGTTTGCCACAAGAGCGCACACCACCAGGGAACACTGGGCGCCAATGACAGCAGGCAGGCATGAGACATTAGGCAGACACTAGGCAGACATTCATGACATAGGTGACATTAGACCTCGACATCTGTCCACGGAGCCTGTCTGAGGAGGAGGAGGAGAAGCATAAGAGGAGTCTGAGGATGAGGGAATGGGTATGATGATGCTGCTGCTGCTGCTGATGATGATGATGATGATGATGATGATGATGATGATGATGACGATGACGATGATGATGGTGATGGTGATGGTGATGGTGATGGTGACGGTGATGGTGATGGTGATGGTGAGAATGAGGATGAGGAGGAGGAGGAGAAACAAAAGAGGAATATGATGATGAGTGAGATGAGGGGGAGGAGGAGAGGGAGAAGGAGGAGGAGGAGGAGGAAGAGGAGGAGGCGCCTCCTCCTCCTTCTCTTCCTCCACCTTTTTCTTCATCCTTTTTTCCTTGCAAAGAACTCCTCCCTGACACACCCCCAGGCGTGTCGGTCGCCGGGGACGTCCCACCCTTTTTTAACCCCGAAGCGTACAATGTGCAACCGCTTCAAGGATGCAGGGCGATTCGTTTTCAACATGTGGTGATCGCCGTAGCGCCGCGCACGTTCGCCTGAAACGCCTGCAACAGTTTAGAGGATGAGGGGGCGTTTCCTTGTCAACATGTGGCTCTCGCTTCAGCGCCGCTCACATTCGTTTACAAAGTTTGCAGCAGCTTCAAGGATGGAGGGCGGCTTGTTCTCATCATTGTGGCTCTCGCCTCAGCGCCGCGTGCATCCGTCTTATAGTTCGCAACAGTTTCAAGGAATATATTGTCTGGTGTGTTTGGGATCGTGTTCTGCCACGATTTAGGGTTACAGGACGCACTAGTTACTGTTATTTGCGGCGTTGAAGTCTCACGAATGGTGTTCTTGCACGGTGTAGGGTTGTCAGGACGCAGCAGGCATTTTGATCCGCGACGTTGAAGTCCTTGGAATGGTGTTTGGGCACGATCGAGGATTATCCGGCGGTTGTCTTCCAATGGCCACTTCCCGCAATGAAAATTGATGTTTGTCGGGACCTCTGAAAATGGAGTTTAGAGGGAGGGTCTGTTGCAACATCGTTGGTGCGTCTTGGGTTTCTACTTGTCCGCCTTCTCCTCCTCCCGCCTCCTTGCTCCTCCTCCTCCCCCTCCCGGCCCTCCTGCGATCGCTGATGCCTCTGCTGGTGCTCCTTTTCCTCGTCCTTTTCCCGCATCATCCTTCCCCCTCCCTCGTTTTCCTCCACCTCCTCCTGCCATAGGCTTCACGTGACACGCTGCTGATGATGATGCTGATGATGATGATGATGGTGGTGATGATGGTGATGATGATGATGCTGATGATGATGATGATGATGATGATGATGTTTTGATGACGATGATGTTTTCGTCGTGAGCGCTAGGCCTGGGCCTCTGGCGTGCCTTTGGTGACTCTCTGGGACTCTGCCTACCCCAGAAGTACCCTTGGTGGCATAGCGGGTTGGCTCGGAAGGCCTCCTCACGGTCTGCCAAGATGTGGGCAGTTCGCAACAGGGGCAGCGGGCCGCAGTGCTGCTCCCGCCTTGCAGGACAACGTTGATAGACCATGTTGCTACCTTTTGCTGGGGCATGCGCCCCTAGCGCCCACACAGAATCAAAGTGGGCGCGCTTCGCCCATTGCAGGCATGCCCGCCATGCTCAAGGCAATGGAAGCAGGTTGATAGACCATGTTGCTGCCTTTTGCTGAGGCATTCGCCCCTAGCGCCCACACCGAATCAAAGTGGGAGCGTTTCGACCCCGTTACAGGCATCCCAGCCATGCTGAAGGCAATGGAAGCAGGTTGTTCGACCATGTTGCTTCCTTTTGCTGAGGCATTCGCCCCTAGCGCCCAGACCGAATCAAAGTGGGAGCGTTTCGCCCGTTACAGGCATCCCAACCATGCTGAAGGCAATGGAAGCAGGTTGCTAGACCATGTTGCTTCCTTTTGCGGAGGCATGCGCCCCTAGCGCCCACACCGAATCAAAGTGAGCGCGTTTCGCCCGTTGCAGGCATCCCAACCATGTTGAAGGCACTGGAAGCAGGTTGATGGACCATGTTGC